TCCCAGGACCCCGGGATCATGACCTGAGCGAAAGGCAGACACTTAACAACTGAGCCAACCAGGTGCCCCAGATTGATATTTTTTGACAGCTGTGTTTTCCTATACCTGACAACTTCACTCACGTTCACGCCTGGCCCCTATAACTAACTGCTAGAGTGTGTAACCTCTCCCACACGGTGCCTCAGGCTATGAGGAAAAGGAAGGTAATATTAACCTCTTTCTGAGGAACACTGTGTATGATTATATTATATTGGAATAAAGTAAGTACTGGAAGTTTTGGTTTAGAAGATATTCTGAGTAAATGAATCAGATATATCGTGCTATTTTGTCATCCTAAGTTCAAGCATTTGAGTCAAAAAGGAATAATGCTCTTATTTCTTTGAGCATGTCTCAGTTTTTTTTAAAGAGAGAGAAAGAGCAGTAGCCTCTGCTTATAAAGTTACAACCTTGGACAAGGTAGACCATTAAGGAAGGAGGAGGTCATGCTCCTAGACTGAAAAAGAAGGGAGGTAGGAGCAGGAAAGATGAGAAAAGGACCAAGCTGTGCCTCCAGCTTATAATACGCTTCTTATTTGAACTATGCTTCTTATTTGAACAATGCCTGAGACTCACCCATATGCTTCTTACTGTCCCTAAATAGAAGCCTTGGGGCCCTACTGATAAGCAATGGTTCAGGAGATGCCACAGACAACTTACCACACAGGAATGAGAGAATGAGTTGGAAGGCCAGTAGCTAAGGCACTTCTTTTCTTTCTTTCTTTTTTTTTTTTTAAGATTTTATTTATTTGAGACAGAGAGAGAGAGAACACGAGCAGGGGGAGAGGGGCAGTGGGAGAGGAAGAGCGAGAAGCAGACTACCCACTGAGCAGGGAGCCCGAAATGGGGCTTGATCCCAGGACCCTGAGATCATGACCTGAGCCAAAGGCAGATGTTTAACCGACCAAGCCACCTAGATGCCCCACTAGGGCACTTCTTAGACCAACGAAACCAAAAAGCAGAACCATTCTCTTTTAAAGCATCTGATATCAAAAGGGGTTACTTTGTTCAGACAATATGGTTAAGGTAGAGAAGCCTGAAATACACCATCTACTCCTTCCTGCTAACCCATGTAAATAAGGTGAAAATAATAAATAATCACAGAAAATTAATATATTAAAAGAATAGTTCTTCATAACCAAATGAGGTCTAGCTCAGGAATACTGTTCCACATTAGGAAATTATCAATAATTTATCACACAACTTTAAGACAAATATAAAGGAAACCATAAGCCTGCCTTGCAGGTGTCCAGAAAATACATTTGTAAAGATTCACCACCTATTTCATGTTAACACAGGAAATGTGAGGAAAAGAGAATGCTCAATATGAGAAAGAGAATCTATTTCTTTTTTTTTTTTTTAAGATTTTATTTGTCAGAGAGAGAGTGAGCAAGCACAAGCAGGGGGAGCAGGCAGAGGGAGAAGCAGGCTCCCCACTGAGCAGGGAGCCTGATGTGGGACTTGATCCCAGGATCCTAGGATCATGACCTGAGTCGAAGCCAGATGCTTAGCTGACTGAGCCACCCAGGTGCCCAAACTATTTCAACCCAATTACCAGTAATCACATTTTTGGGTAAAAGACTAATAACATATTCCTCTAAAAAAGAGAACAGAAGAAGGAAGTTCTGACCAAGGCAACCAAATATATATAAAAAAGTGAGGGATACATATTTGAGACCACTCATGTATAACCCTCACGGCCCACCCCAACTACCACCCCATTCTCCTGCTGCCCTTATAGCAAAGCTTCTCGAGACAGTTTTTGTACTCATTGTGTTCACGATCCTACCTTCTATTCTGTATTAAATTCACTCCAGTAGCGCGTTCTCTCTGTAACTCCACTAACACCGCTACGGTCAGGCACCTGCACCTTGCCAAGCCCAGCAGTCAGTCCTCGGGCCTCACCTGCTGGTGATCACAGGGCAGGTCATCTTGCCCTCCCTAAGGCAAACAGTTTTACTTGTCTCCTGGTTCTCACGTTTCCTCACTGGCTAGTCGCAAATCCCCTTTCGGCTTGTAAATGCGCAGAGGCCCTGCACCCCGTCCTGAGGTCTATTCTCTGTTGTGGCTCTCTTTCATGCAGGCATGGCTCTAAGTGACACACAGGCACTGACAAATGTAGACCTCCAGCTCGGAACTCCCTCCTACAATCACACTGTACTCCCGCCCCTGCAGCCAGAGGCATCCATGCTGTGCTCTGATCCGGTCCCCAGCTCCCTTACCACTCTCTCCCTGGTCCACTCCATCCCACCCACTACCCTCCCTGCTGCCCCTCAAACACAGCAAGTTTCTCTCACGTCGCTGTTCCCTCTGCCTGGAAAACTGGCAGATGGCACACGGCCGGTTCCTATACTTCTTTCAGGTCTATCAAAAGCCACCTCCTTACATGGGTCTCTTATCAGAAAAATCACCCTCTGTCACTAGCTATGACCTTATCCTGCTTTAGTTTTCTTCATAACAGTTATCATAACTGGGCCTTATTTTCTTTATATGTTCCTTTATACATTACCTGAATATTCCTACTGGAATGCAAGTGCTATGAAGCCCAAGGCTTCGTTACATTCAGTGTTGTATCCCAAATGCCTAGAACCTGCTTGCACAGGAATAGGCATGCTCAATAATTAGTTGTGGATTAATTAGTAAATTAATTCAAATGCATTCCTAGGAAATTCAGAAGACTCCATGAAAACTTATTTATACCAAGAATTCCTGAAATGGCAAAAATATAGGGGTGCCTGGGTGGCTCAGTCTGCCTTAACCCAGGGTCCAAGGGTCCTGGGATCGAGCCCTTCATTGGGCTCCCTGGTTGGCATGGAGTCAGCTTCTCCCTCTCTCTGCCCCCTCACCCTGCTCGTGCTCCCTCTCTCAGATAAATAAAATCTTTAAAAAAATGGCAAAATATAAGATAAATAAGCAAAATTCTGGAAGTATTCCATTTATTGGTGAGAACAAATTAGAAAATAAAAGTATAAATGACATCTCATTCACAATAGCCATAAATCTGACAGTACATATAGCAATAATTTAATGTAAATACTAAGAAAACACGTAACTGAAAGTATTAAAGAAGATCTGAACAGAGATTATCAACTTTATGGTCAGGAAAACAAAATACTGTAAAGTTACTACACCATCCCAAATTATTTTACAGTCTTAATGCAACTAACAAAATTACAATGGGATTTTATGTAAGAAGTTGAAGAATTATAAAGCTCTCTGGAAAAAGAAGTATGAATAAAGAGAATTTTTTAAAATTGCTATGTTAATAATGAAGGTTTACACCTACTCAGAAAGTAAATTGTTTTCTGGTGAGCAAGATGGCAATAAATATTAAAGTTTTGAAATCTGGGATTTACTCCTAAATTTTATTCTAAGGAAATTAAGGATGTTCACAAAGCCACAAAGACTGATTTTTTTTTTTTTAAGATTTTATTTATTTATTTGACAGAGAGAGAGAGATAGCGAGAGCAGGAACACAAGCACGGGGAGTGGGAGAGGGAGAAGCAGGCTTCCTGCTGAGCGGGGAGCCCGATGCGGGGCTCGATCCCAGGACCCTGGGATCATGCCCTGAGCTGAAGGCAGATGCTTAATGACGGAGCCACCCAGGTGCCCCAAGACTGCTTTTTATAAAACCAAAATAACCTATACAACTAAAATAATTGGCTTTATTAATTATGGTATGTCAATACAATCAAATACCATGCAGCTATTAAAACTGCAGCTGTAGAGTCTCGGAGCTTGGTTAAAACGGAGGTATTAATCACATCAACCTATCTATGTGCTCTTCCATAATAAGCCCACTAAACCGACAGTAAAGAAATTTAAGATATAAGTGCATGAGGGCAAAATAAATGGGAACGAGATCTTGAGTTTGAGATTTCAACAAATTCTGGAAAAGAGAGGTGTCTGTCTTAAGGCAGATGAAGTCTGAGATAACCAAAGAGAAAGCAAGGTGGTCTGACGTACACAGAATCCCAGGGTGGCTCAGGCCTTGGAAGCACCAAGCACCACAGGAAGGGAGGCTGAAGCAGAGACGTGAGAGCAGGGTGACTGGCAGAGAGGATATACAGAGTGAATGGACTCCCCAGAGGCCTCCCCTCACCCAGACAGGGGGCCAGCAGCACCTTCTCCCACACTCAGGGATGGAGGTTTGGACCAGTTATGGGATGTGGGTACAAGGCTACAGCACGGGGCAGGAGTGGGCACGGTGCTGAAAGCAGGTGGAATAAGGGAAAGTGCACACAAGAACAGGAACCCTGATGCTCCTGCTCGAAGGCCAGAAGCCAGACCTGTCCTTCTCAAGCAAGAGATCAGAGGATTTCTTCTGGAAAAAAAAAACAAACGAAAAAAACCCCAAAAAACACGAAATCCAGACACTAAGGAGAGAAAGGCAGTGGGCATAGCCATGGTGAAGAGTGAGCTTGGGTTCCAGAGGCAGACTGCCCGAGCTCCAGTCCCAGCTCCACCACTTATGTGCTTCACCTCTTTGGAAGCCTCTTAGTTTCCCCACCTGAAAATGGAGATCATGGTGCCTACCTCATGGTGCTTTGTGGGGATTAAATATTTTAAAGCAAGTAAAAGTCCAATTATTCCCTCCTCCTTCCCTATAAGAGGATGACACACCCCCACCCATGGCCACTGCCCTGTCTTTGCCTCTCTGCAGGTGGAGGAGACTTCCCTGCCCCACTGTCAGGTTGGTCTAGTTTTGGCCAACTGCGTGTGAATAACGCTAAAGCACACCATATCGAAGCAGAAGCTTTTTAAAGCCATGCATGTTCTTGCAAGCTCTCTCCTCCTTTCCCCTCTGCCATGAGAAATGCATGTCCCAGAGAGCTGCTCCTTTAGGCTGGGTCCTAGAATGGGAAGCACGGAGAAGAGAGCCAGGGCGATTGACCTGCAGCCACCTTCAGCTGCCCACATGAAGAGAGAGAAAAAACTGTTTACTGTACAAAACCACTGAAATTTGGGGCTCGTTTGTTACTGTAAGAAGGTCAACAAACTACAAAGACAACTCAAGTGTATACTTTAAAAATATCTGGGGAGTGAATCTTTAATGACATTCTTAATCCTAAGTATATTCGACTTGAATTCAAGCAATTGAGAATTGTACCATTTGTGATAACTAAATATCAGGGTTCTATGAACAGTTAATGAAGGAAGAGAACTTATATTAACTGATCACTTACTATTAATATGCTACACGATATTTCACTTAATCCTTGTAACAACCCTGTAGAATAAGTTATAACACTCACTTAAAAGGTAAGTATTTTCACCCCCCTAATAAGAAGAGATAGTTATATGTAAACAATGAATCATGGAACACTACATCAAAAACTAATGATGTAATGTATAGTGATTAACATAACATAATAAAATTAAAAAAAAAACTAATGACGTAATGTATGCTGACTAACGTAACATAATAAATAAAATTAAAAAAAAAGAGAGGAGCTAGAGAAGGCTCAGGAAATTAAGTGATTTGGAATTAGGTCTACTCTCGAACTATGAGCACCGTGCGCCTTCCAGTTCAGGTGAGTCTGTCTCCAAACCCATTCACTTCCCATCACAGCCTCGCTACCATTATACTATGTCTTATTCTCCACAGTCCAACCCCCAGCCCTCAAGCACAATGCCTGGCATGTTGTAAGTGTTCAAAAAAAAAAAAAAAAAACTTCTCGAACTAAACTGCAAAGAAAACCACCCAAAAAACAAAAATACCTCAATTTCCACTATACAGTGTACACCAAAATAGTTAAAATATAAAAATTTTCAAACTATAGACAATTTAAAAGAAAACGATTAACTATGTCATACATGTGAACAGAGATAGAATTTATAAACTTAGAAGCAGCTGAAGAAATCAGTGACAGACCAATAGGTATAAACAAATAAATGAAATTTCTGTATGTCAAGTACCATCCTTCCCTCAGAGGACCAAAATTAAACAGTAAACTACACGCCCCAGAAGAAGATTGAAGTAAATCACAACTAATGTACTGATTATGTAAAGCATTTGTACAAAAAAATTTTTTTAAAATAGGAAGATTTGAATCATTAAATAGGCAAAGAATATGAAATAAGTAGGAAACAAGGAAATACAAAACTGAATAAACTTTTAAGAGATAATCCTTTAAGTATAATATATAAAAATATCAATTTTTCAACAATTCAATGGAAAATTTATCTTTGAATAAGACTCTGAGTCAGGAAGGTAAAATACATATCTTTAGGTATTGCTGATATGAGTATTAGTTAGTGCAACTCTTTTAGAAAGTAACTGAAGGGGACGCCTGGGTGGTTCAGTCATTAAGTATCTGCCTTCGGTTTCAGGTCATGATCCCAGGGTCCTGGGATCAAGCTCCGCGTTGGGCTCCCTGCTCAGTGGAAGCCTGCTTCTCCCTTTCCCACTCCCCCTGCTTGTGTTATCAATTAGCTTTTGCTTACATCTTAAAAAATATACTGGAAAAGAACTATTCTTTTTTGCTAGGAAACTGATAAATATGTATCATTGGAACCAGTAATAAAAATTCAATTTTCCTTATTCATCAACACAAGCTCAGAAAATATTTAAATTAATAAAAGTATTATTTCAGTACCAAGGGGCTATTTCCTAAATTCCAAGTCTGATACTACTCCTAAAATAAATAAGAAAAATATAAAAGTATTACCTTATTGATATCATCTGCTGTAAATCCACTTTGTTCTAAGAGTTCTCTGATTGCTTCTATACATTTATTAAAAAGTGGAGAACAGAGAAGTTCAAATCTTGCTCTGTATAACACACACACACACACACACACACACACACACACACACACACAGAAGAAAAGACATAGAGAAAAGGCTCAGTACAATTAAGACAATTTTTCTTGTGAAGAGTAATGCCAAAACCTAATGTGACAGTTCTCTTAAAAATAGGTTTATGATCAGAACAAGACATTTAACACCCAACAGTGTAACACCGTGGGGGGGGAGGGGACATCTAAGTTATTCATCTATAAATATATGAAGACATTCAACATCAAATTCAGAAGATTCTTACCCATGGCTTACTTGTAAGCTTTCAAAAAACCTAAAAATAAATACACAGTGTATGGCATTCCCAACAAAGCCACAGATTCAGATCAAACCATCATTTGGAAGCTTTTGCTATTTTTATATGTTAGAAGTTTAAAAAATTATTTCTTATTTTTTCTTTATAATCTGAGTCTACGCTGTACATAAGTTTAGTTCTCTTGCTCTGAGAAGCTTGAATGCTAGCATATAATTTTAAGAAAGATCTATGTTTATAAAAAATGTACTCCCTAATTTCATAAACTTAAATGCAGATGCCTGATTTTTAAATTTATTTGTGCTATCCATATACACCTAACAGTTGAAACCTTTGTAAAAAAGTCAAAATTTCCTTAATGAAAATTTACAAATTCTATTTCATTCCTAATAACTAAGCAATAATATGCAAGCATATACTGGTACTTGGACAAACTCAGCACTAAGTTAGGAATTCTAGAAACAGAAAAAATACCCAACACTCTGCCCACAACCTTTCAATCTTTTGGATTATAGTTTGAAATCTCTCTTAGAAGAGCTAGTGCAGTGCTAATAAAATCTTCTGTGAGCCACCAGACTACTGAGCACTTGAACTGTGGCTAGTGCTACTGAGGAATTGAGTTTTTTATGTTATTTATTTCTAATCAATTATAATTTAATAGCCACAGGTGGCTAGTGGCTATTGAACTGGGCACGCAGAGGTTGAGTCTTAGGAAAGCCCAGGGAAACAAGGAAGCTAAACTACAAGGACCAAATGAAGAGTGAATTTAACCAAATATAGTGAATAGAATCCTAAAAATAATACTGTAATTCTGGAAATTTTTACTATGTTTCCAAGTCACCTGTTGGTTGTTGGGAGGTTTAAATAGTGAACCACTGGTAGCTATTATTACCATAAATAATATGCAAGGCAAAATGAGAGGGCAATGTCCTCCCTTTGGATTCTTTGGGTACACGTGTGATCACCTGTAACCAACGTTTTGGATTATGTAAAAGATAAGGGAATTTAAAACAATTTTATGCACATTAAACCTGTGTTTACTAAATAAACACTATCAAAATGTAAAATGTTGACAATGGATGACAGAGGCAACAAAACCAAGACAGATATGAAACTAAGGTAGAATGTGATAGAGTATGAACTCTGGAGTCCCACTTGTGGGGCTGGAACCCCTGCCCATCGCTAAGATTATACGTACTTACCGTGTAGCCCTGGCCAAGAATGACACTTCTCTGTTTCAGCTTCCTCATGTGTAAAATAAGGAAAACAACACTACTGACCTCACTGGGTTGTTATGGGGGATCTGATGAGTTAATATAGATTACCACTTAGATTACAGCCTACCACACTGTGTTAACTAGTTAGTTAGAGTAAGTACCACTAAAACACTTGGAAGCCCCACATAAACTTGACCAACAAGAAGGCTTGCTTTCGAAGATCTAGGACGCCTTTTTCACACATGGCTCTCTGCAGCTGTCAATAACCGGGCAAGCAATCACAACTGATGTCAGCGCTCTGGGGGCAGTTACTTAGTCTGACAAGAACTGGACCTCATAATAAAGACAGGAAAGCTCTCCTTGTACTGATGGCTAATAAATCTCAAAAGAACAAGCAAAAAGCCCTAAGTGAGAACCTAAAAATATGAATGTATTTGGACTTTCTTAAGTTTCCTGAATTTCAGTTTTACCTGGACACATTGCAGTCAAAATCCTGACCTTCATAGAGTGAGTCGAGGAAACAGTTGGCGCTTCCCAAGGTTGACAAAGAATGCTTTGCGATGTCAGCACTGCTCATCAACTTCATCATGGCTCGGGGGTTCCCTCTCACGTCATGTCTGAAGGATCTAAATCAAGAGTCTTTGGAGCTTAACAATTCCTAGGCCATTTAGAATTTATAAAAACTCAAATCTGGATAATGCCTACTCGGATAATAAATCTCATAAATTAATATTAATGTCAGATTTTAGTAACGAGCTTCAAACCCTCCAAAATTTCTGAAGAAATTCTTTGCGATTACAAGGGTCTCCTCAAGAAAAATGAGTAACAAATATTTTTGATACTTGGCATTGCTAAATTCTGTGACCATAATAACAGACTGTCCTTTAAGAAAGTAGAGTAGCTGACATCTTTCTGCAGATGCAACAAATGGAGGGTGAAGGAGATCTATGTGAACAGGTCATGTCTCCTCTCTCTCCCTTTATAAAGGTAGCACAATCATGATTTAATGGTATAAAATGATCTGTCCAGCACTAAAAAACAAAACTAAAAGGGCTTCATTTTTGTTTTTTTTTAAAGATTTTATTTATTTATTCGACACAGAGAGACAGAGAGCACAAGCAGGGGGAGTGGGAGAGGGAGAAGCAGACTCCCCGCTGAGCAGGGAGCCTGATGCGGGGCTCAATCCCAGGACCCTGGGACCATGACCTGAACTGAAGGCAGATGCTTAACCGACTGAGCCACCCAGGCGCCCTGAAAAGGGCTCTTTAAAGAAATTTGACACACACAAAATATGCAAAATCACAATTTCTCTATCTCCAAGACGAGTTAATTGTTAAAATTGCTTGGCTCTGTTTCTAAACATATCTAATAACTGGAATTGGTAGTCAAATTAACAATGTCTTATCCTTGAGTTGAAGCACCTTCATAACAAAAAACAGTACAGGTCTTTACGAAACAAGTGAGAACTTACTTCTTTTTCAAGACTTTTTTACCCAGTCGGTTTAATCAAACTGATGAAAATACTGTTTTGGCCAAAAAAAAAATTTTTTTTAAGAGTGGCAATGTTCAAAATTTAACCTTTATCTATGTGACTCATCATTTTGAATAGAATAATTACACCTAGCAACAAAACTGAAATACTCCTTGTGATAGCAGATTAGTAACTAAATAAACACTCTGAAGACACTAATTCACTAGGATGTGACTATAATGTAATGTAATCTTTATCAGATCAAAACTTTTAAAATTTGTTTAGAAGGTAGTGAGCCCTCAGTGCCTGTACACTCCTTTATCTAGACATAACAGCAGCTCCTGAGAAATTAAGAATTCGAACTTGAGACCCAAGTTCACACAGTTCAACGTCTAGTGGGCCCTCACGCTAAGTGAAAAATCTGAGCACACTGCACCGCGCAACTTAGCCTGTTTCCCTGCAAATGCTCGCAGAGGACATTGTAACTCTAGACATGAAAACGTCCAATGCACTGGAAAATAAAAACAAAAAGCATGTCCTCTTTTGAAGCAGGGCAATTTAAAATAGAAAAAAAAAACAAAAAACGAAAAAACAAACCCTGAAGAGAAACTTCGATCGAAACATCATCAAGTCCATCAGTACTCACCTCTGAAACTCTGAAGCTAGATACTCTGCTAAGGTCTCTGTGAAGTGTGTACCTCCGATGTTATCATCAGTGTTTGTCGAAAGAACACGATATATTCCACTGTTCACTTCCATGACGCTGACAGATAAGGATGTTCCTCCAAGTTTAAACACCAAAATATTGCTTAAAAGAAAAATAACATGAATAAGTTATGAGGGAATCACACTGTTTTAAAGGTAGGTTGGACATTAGAAGCAACTTAGTTTAACCCCTAATCATAATAAGGAATCTGAAAATCTCACATGAGTCAACTTAGGTGTCCATGGTCATCACTTAGTGCTGAATTAAGCCTAGAACCCAGATCCTCTGATTCGAAGTCAAAGTTTGTTTTAACTTAGTTGTACTGGTAAAACTGGATTTTTCTAAGCAGACTTCAAGACACTAACTTTTCTTTTCTTTTTTAATTCCAGTATAATTAACATACAGTGGAAGACCCTAACCTTTCCAAGTAGAGATTGTGATTATAGCGAATCATAAGAGAATTAAACATAGAAATTTTATGTGCTAATATTAACCAAGTACTACAATAACACATTCTATAAAAATCAAACATATGCAAAACTAGAAGCTAATTTCTGATTTCTGCATTTATCTAGTTCACCTAAAACTGATTTCCTACTGATTTAAACATACTAGTTTTTTTAGCTGTGAGATATGAACAAGGGAAACAACTAGGGGAAATTAACACATCTGTATTAATCTCCTTTAGGTGCCTGTGTCAGCTCTATTAAGACAAGTTTTGACAACTAAATTAGGAGTATGTCTTACTATTTCATTATCAAAAGATGTCTTAAATCCTATGCTGGACTTTCCCCCATCTCCTGCCAAGAAAAATGTATATAAAAGTACTGTCTCTAAACATGTCTAATAACTGGAATTGATAGAAAAATTAACAGCGCCCTAGTCTGAGCTAGAATTGGGTCAGGCTTGTAAATTTCAAATCTTCCTCCAATAAGGAAAGGTAACATGAGTGATAAGAGAAGGGCAGGAAAGCTCAATCTTCCCTCTCCTTATGTCCTTTCTCTGCCCTCCCAGGATGTCTTTCTCATCTATTTGAAAATCTCCAGGTGAGTTTCAGCATCTTTTTATTCATAAAGGCCTTATATAACAATTCCTACTGATGAAAGTGCGGTAATCTACAATGTTTTCTGCACCAAAAACCTTAAAGCTGCAAATATGGTTTTTACCTTTTTCCAGTGGGGCAGTCTTGTCCAATTCCATAAGCCAAAAGAGCTGCAGATGGTTCATGGATTAACCTCAAAACATTAAACCCAGCAGCTCTGGCTGCTTCCCTGTGGATGATTTGCTTTCAATGAATTTAATATCACAACATGTTCAAGTATTTTCTTGACAAAGAAAATAACATGTGCATATACTAAGTAAGGAAAAGGAAAGCTCTCAAAAATGCCCGTGCTTATAAACTTTAGAAAGATATTAAAACAAATTTATCATACATTTTGGAACTTTCCGGTTTAACTCAGGGTCACAGTTTTAACATCCCACAAGTGCAAGTAAATAACACAATTACCTGTCCCAGAAGTAACTCGGATACTTGCCAAAGTCCCATATGAAACTCTACCCTCAAGGCAAAGGCATGTGTGCTTGAGAATTACATTTGCATAATGACCCATAAAAACTAAACCCAACTTTCTGTTTAGATGTGAAGATCTAAGGTGAAGAAATTATTGAAAATATTTTCATTGCAAAAAACTGTATATTTTTATATAATTCCCACATAAACCTTGGTTGCATGAAACTAAGGCAAAGCAATCTATCAACATCAACTTAACCTGGTAATTAAAAACATTTCCAATCGAAACAGCTAATAAGGTACATATAATTTTATGTTCTCCTGGCATTTCATAAAAGACAGGAAACATTAATGATCATTATTAGACTTTTTTCCAGACTACTTACATATATAAATATATACATCTGTTTACAAATACAACTTTATTGCCCAAGGTATCTTCAAATACAATTTTACCTTTTACTACATTATAATATTATGAAATCTCTATTTCCTTTAAGCAAATAAGATAAACTTACCCAAGAGCATTTTTTTGCTTTTCGCCAAAATCAAATGGAACAGTAATAACTACATCATTTGCATCTGAGCCCAATACAGAATGTGCTGTTTCTGTGTATGAAAAAATAAAAATTCCAATGACAAAAAAATATTGATATTTTGCAGTTTATTAATTTGTGCCAGTGATCTTCTCACTGTAAAGATTTTCCAGTTTACCTGATTGCCCAACCCGCTCATTTTCTTCTCTGGCTCTCTTAAATCATGCAGAACTTTTTGTGATTTAGAAGTTTGTGGACATGGAACTAGGTACTTTCCAAAAAGCCTGGCTCTTAGGCTTCAAAACTTCAACTATCTCCCAAATTAGACTAGTTCCATTAAGAATGAGCTTCTAATACAACAATGTGAAGGTAAGAAGCATGTTAGTTCAGCACATTAAAAGGCTGCTTTTCATCCCACAAATTCATAACATAATTCCAGAGTTGAAGTCAGCCTTATAGATAACCTAACTCCAGAATTTCCCAAACTGTTCCACAGCATGCCACTCAGCTTCGAGCCTTCATCAGAAATGGTGATAAGCCAAACCTGCTTAATCTGCCTAAATAACTGTTCGAAGAGCACTGCTAATCTTGAGCAGATAGATAAAATATTCACTCTTCACCAAACTTATTTGGCCACTTCAATTTGAGAAGCTGTGAAAATGCTAACCTGGCCCAACTCATTAACATTCCTCCTAAGGAAACCGAAGTCAGGGAAGGAAGTCAGTTAATCAAGGTCACACAGCCGGGTAGTGGCCCAGTCAGGTCTAGTATTAGGTCTCCTTCATCTGCTTGATCACCCTGCTTCTCTCCAGATCAAGAAACACCTTTTTTTTTTTAAAGATTTTATTTATTTATTTGAGAGAGAGAGAGAAAGAGAGAGAAACAGCATGGGAGGGGAGAGGGTCAGAGGGAGAAGCAGGCTCCCCCCTGAGCCAGGAGCCCGATGTGGGACTCGATCCCAGGATTCCGGGATCATGACCTGAGCTGAAGGCAGTCGCTTAACTGACTGAGCCACCCAGGTATCCACATCTCTAACTTTCTTTTAAGGTCAATTTTTAAAAGATCTTTTGCTCAATACCTTTCATCTTACTAAATATCAGTCTGGCAACATCTTCTGGGTTAACAAACTTTGTTCCTTCTCCAGTATCTACTTCATATCGTAACTTTCCATTTTTTTCAATGACCTATAAAGGAAATTGTAAGTGTGTTAAATGAGGAATAATTTTAATAAAAATACAAAGTTTCAAAATAATATAATAGGTTATGACCTTGGCAATTACTCTGTGTAATGAAGAGGTAGTAATAGAATCATACTCACTAAACATTTACTTTCCGTGATGTATTTCTGAGCCTGTGGATCATCAGAGCTGTCCATGAAGATAAAGATAGTTAAATATTAAAATCAGTATTGTTGATGTGTAATATTTAAAGACTATATTTTTCAATACTACTAAACAAATATAAAAATGCAATTAAGTTGCTTAATATTAATAAATCATGATATAGAGGATAGAATTAAATGGATACAGTATTTACAATGGTCATAGTGATTCTATTAAAGCATTAATCTTCACATTTGAAAAGTAAACAGCTCTATTTGTTCTGATCTTGCTATTAAGAGATGCCATACATCTGGGGGGTAATTTTTCCTAGTGTCAGTGATTTTATGTCATGTACTCTCTCATCTATGATCTTGAAAACCCAATCACTGAGATGAAAAGGGCAAAAAAGGATTCCAAAGTAAGGGCAAACCAGAATACCTAACACCATCTTTGGGGCAAACCAGAATACCTAACACCATCTTTGTTTCTTGGCTTCTGAACATGAATCAACACCCAAAGCCAAAAAAAATGAGAAGTACGTATGTTATATATGGAAAGGTGCAATATACTGCAGATCGATGGATCTATAGTGTCCTGTATCAAAGTAAGTAGTAAATAAATGTGTATGGCAATGAAAAAATTAACAATGGGTGTAATGTTGCTCAAAATACCAATTTGTGCAGACTACAAAATGTTATCTATTATTACCTCACTTAATCTTCCCAACAGCTAAGTGGGGTTAATTTGGCAGGTTATTATTTTAGAGATTAAGGGGTTCACAGAGAATCAATGATTTAGAAGCTAACAAGGGGCAGGGTCAGTACCCAGTCTTCTCTAGCAGGGTAGTGTTTTTTGCATTTTACCAGCTGCCTCCCAGTAAGAAGGTAAATGACTAAAATACTTCTGCCCCCTTGAGCAGTGATAGGAGTCTTTGATCCTTGGCTTAATTTCATCTAGAAATTAAAGTAAACCCTTCCGGTCAACTCTTCTTCCCAGGGGCAAGAGCCATTCCATTCAGAGATCAGTTTTAATAAGAGGAGTTGAAAATTCATAGTGACTATCTGCTGCAGTTACTGAACATCTGAGGACCCTAACCTGCGTAAATAAGAGAAAGACAAATGGGGTTTAAGATGGACTAATGTGGCTCAGAAATCTGTCTAGAACACTTGCAGATTCCTCATACTTCCTTCTCCATTATCTGAAAATTGACAGGCAAACAGGGAAGGAGCTTGCCCAAAGTCACATGGTTAATTCATGGCAGAATGGACTGGAATCCAGATCTTTAATACAAAGTGCAATATTCTTTTGACCTAAGCCTTCCCCCCTTCCTTCCTGTCTCTAAATCCAATCTTTAGACTATATCCTGGACAACTATTTTAAGGATAAGAAAAAAGATGAAGTCTGCCCATAGTAATTTTTTTGCACCAATATAATTTCAGCATGACACTTACCAGCTGTTTTCTTCAGAACAGAATTTTAGTCAACCAGGACAATTTACCCTGTTATCTACAAACATCTGTGAGCTATCTAAGACCAGATAATTTGCCAGGAAAGCCTATATTAGGGAATTTAAAGAACTTTTAGAAATGGAAAATTATTTCTCAACTGCCCTGCAAAGGGGGCCCTCCTCATGTGAGGACAGGAAGCACACAAAGTTCTTAGGGCCATATACAGGCAGGACCCTGGAGATTAGCTAGTATAGAAAAAGCAAGCAGAGTGTGGAGGTGACGACAAATGGTCATGGATATCGCCAGAAAGCAGTGGACTGACCCACAAGTACATACAAGTAAAAACTTTATTTGTTCACACCAGAATTAAATCACGTAACAGAAACACAAAGGACGGTGGGAAGTTGGCATACACAGCACCTCATTTACATCTTGGTCTTTAGGAGGCAGAGTGTTAATCCCACCACTATATCACCTCTACAAGCAATGCCACTTTCTTTTCCTCGTCCTTCCTTAAATGTCTCTTGCACCGAAAGCAGGCTGTGGGACCTGGCACACGGCAGCACTAATGTGCCCCAGGGTCTTCTTCCCTGTTACTGTCACAACATATCGCCTTCTGTGTCTGAAAGCGTTTCTACATTCATCTGTTCATTTGGCCCTCACAACATTCCTGTGAGGTAGGTAGGAGCGTTATTTATTTCTCCCTCTGTAGGTGAGGAACCTGAGTCACAATGGTAAAATGACCTGCCAAAGGACAGGCAGGTACGAATGGCTGGGCCTAGAGCTTAGGCAGGATTTCTGAGCTTGTTCTCACTTACGTGGCCTCCTCTTAACAATATTTCACCCCTTTGTCTATTTCATTAGAAACTTTCCCTTTAATTTTATTCTCACATTAAGGTTATTTCGCCCAAAAGATTTTCATAACACTATCTTCCGAGTTTAACGCCACTTTTATTCTTTTAGCACTTCTCTTATCTCAAATAATCCCTGCCCATGTACTTTGCTACCGTTAATAGAATATAGTACAGGTCTAACTCTCCTTCAAGTACTTTCCTGTTTTTCCATAAAGTCTACGTATCCACATTAGTGTTATCCAGTTATAAATGACACAGATCCCTCCATATAAAGGCCTAAAGCAACTGAGAAAATGCACGTATATAGATATATATCCATTTCACTGCCTTAATATATGCTTCTTTAAAGCAAGGAACCTATGTATGGTGTGGTGCTTATTTAAGCTGAGTATATTAATAAATATTAATATCACAGAATGCTTCCTTAAAATACAATTGTTACCACTAATTCAAACATACAGTACGTGGCTGTGACTGAAAACATTGCAATTAAAATTTCACTTTGCCTTTTTTTGTTATGCCACTTATCACAGAATTTTTTTTTAGAACTGAAAGGTATTAGGAAAGTCATCTAGTACAAATCTCTCATTTTAAAGAAATTGAGGCACAAAAAGGGCAAGTCATCTGCCCGACGTAACAAACTGCGACAGGGTTAGAACCCAGTTCTAACTGGAGTCCAGTGTGTTCTACCACACCAGCTGCTTTCTACATTCATCACCCGTTCATCAGAGCAGCTTGTGCGCTTGTCATCTATTTATGGTTCCAGGTATATTCCCACTGGTGTTCTGACTACTTCTCTACCTATCTGTATTGCCGGCTTTTAGGTAAGCACCCAAGCCTACAAAAGGGGGTAAAACAAAATCTCTTCAAACATGCCTGCACTTGTTTTATTTTTTATTTTTTAGCCTGTAGACTGGAGGAAAGCCTTTTAAATTCCAAGGCTCCTATTTGTATTTCCTGAAAGTACTAAGTAAACCACTTAAAAGCTTTAAGTTAGTTAGTTAAATGATGGCCAGTAATGGCATTCCTTCTAAAGTAAATTGGAAGTATGGCTCAACACCTTCGTATCTCCCAGAGGAAGTGTGTATGTTTTGGGGGAGAAAGGGGTATGTTTGTTGAGGGCTTTGTGCTTAAAAGGAGTTATCTACTGCAGGCCATCTTTATCCACACCATCCTCAATCGTTCCCAAAGCTGTCCTCTTCCGCCATATGCCATTAACAAGGTGAACGTCTGTCTACAGAGCATGAGAAAAAGTGACTTCGGAAAGTTCCCTAGAAGGAAAGTTTTCTAGGGTTTGCCTTCTGTAACATACGAGACAGAAAAAAAAAGGCTAAAAGAAAAGAATGAAAGTAGCTAAAAGCATTTGGAAAACAGATTCTAAATCGTTTCCACGTGTTGTTCAAATGACACCTGACCTAAAGATACGTAATTATGCATACAAAGGGACCCAAATGATATGGAATGCAAAGAATTTACTTACATTTAACATTTTATAAAACAGCCAATACCTCATTATATTGAAGATTATCAATATGAATCATAACACAACCGTGGCTCCCTGTCTGTTCTGAATTATATCCTTATAGTGATAAGACACTAAGAACTAGTAAAATGGAGGAATTGACGGTTTGACCATTGAGTGCTTACTAGTAGGTATGTCACAGACACAGCAGTGAAAACATAAGAGATAAAAGTACAAATCCATGGATCTATATTAGTCTAATGAGTTACATAGAGGAATTAAAAAAATGAAGATCTTACAAGAAGCAGTCAGGTTAAACTAGTGAAGATTCAAGCAATGAGGTCATGGTATACACCATAATTCTATATCTTGTCAACTAATGTGCCTCACCCTAGCCTTACCTCGGCCAAGGTCGTTACACGGGTATAGTGTGTAGTGCTTTTAAACTTCTAAACCCTTTCACATCTATTAGCCATTTGATCCTCACAACAACCCTGTGAGGTAGGCAGGTCAGGAGTTATTACCTAGCCCCCATTTTACAGATGAGGAAACTGGTGTAGAGGGAAACTCAACTGCCTCGCTTCAGTGGGTAAGCCACAGCTCATGAGCTCTCTGGACTCGGCTCCATCTGTTTTCTATCAGACCACTCCTCACACATCCCAGAGGTCTTTCCATTAGTGGAGAAGCTTGGGAAAAGCAACTAGCATGGATCTTCTGCCACTCTGCGTATAATGGTTCATCCGCTCTTTTTTCCCGAAGGACCTGTAAAAGGAGCCAGGGTGCCAAAAGGCAGGTGTTGGAACTGGGCTTCTACCAGTTTAGGAAGGAGACTCTTTTGTAATCAATTCCTAACTTTTGGTATTTGAAATTAGCCTCTGAAGCAATTTTTCAAGCCCTAGCTGAAAAGCACCGGTGGCCTCTTCGACTGCTGTTGCCAAGCGTCTGACTGCGATCACAGCATCCCTGCGGAGCTCGTTGGCAGTGTCTTGCTGAGCACTGGCCTCCTCACCAATAGCAATCAGCCTGTCCAATTTTTCTTCCTCACGCTTTGAAAGTTCTCGTGCCAACCTCCTGTTTTCTGCCAACTCAGCTGCAATAGTCCTGGCCACTGACCGCCTTCTTCGCCTTGCCCACCTTGGAGGGGGCTCACTGGTCAAAGGCCTATCCCCACCAGAAACAAAAGGAACTCTGGAGGAGACGACCGGAGGCCGCTGTGTGGAGGCCACCCCAGGAGTGTTTCGGCTGGTACTGGCGCAGGGACTGGGCTCACCGGACACAGCCAGTCTGGTCATGGGGCTGCTCTGACAGGGAGCAACTGCACCTCTGAAAAGGTGGTGGGAACTGCTGTAGCTGGGGGTCCCTTGAGAGCACCCTGAAAAACAAAGCAACAATGTTGCAAAGAGGACATTCCTGCCAAGGGAATGCCTGGAGCCAGCAGCGGAGCTGAGAGACAATCACAAAAGTCTGGTAGTTCCTGGAAAGGCCTTTTTCCACAAGGGGCTGGGAAGATTTCAATTCCTTGATCTGGACACTTCAGCCGACTGTAATCTTACCTCCAAAACCTCCCCGCTGCCTTCCTGAACCCATTTCCATGTGGCCAACCAACCCAATCTCTATTCACACATTCCTAAGTACCCACTAAAAATATGCCAAAATGAGTTTGGTTCTAAAGAGTACTTCTTGGGGTGCCTGGGTGGCTCAGTTGTTAAGCGTCTGCCTTCGGCTCAGGTCATGATCCCAGGGTCGGGCTCCCAGCTCGGCGGGAAGCCTGCTTCTCCCTCTCCCACTCCCCCTGCTTGTGTTCCTGCTCTCTGCTATCTCCCTGTCAAAAAAACAAAACAAAACAAAACAAAACAAAGAGTACGTCTTCCACATTTAAGAAGTTCTAATACCTTATATACCTAGGGTCATTGCTTTTGAAGACCTGGAGCTCTTTATCTTAGCAGCAGGCTCAGAAAACAGAGGGCATGGGGCAGAAACAGAGACAATGTTGAAGAAAACACCATCCAAACACATACTGCTGTTTAGAACCAAGTGACTCTGGCACCCCAGTCCTTCACATGCTTGGGAGTTACCTGCACCCGAGGATTCATCCCAGGAGTCCTCAAGGTCACTGGTTTCTCGCATCTGGTCACTGATTCTCAGTTGACAATCCTCATCTGATTCCTTAACTGTTTTCGAGACAGGCTGATGGTGTGCTGCCTGAGTCCTGTTTGCTCTGAGAATGCTGGCTCCCCCTTCCCCCGGGGTGTCAGAGACCACTAAGTTCTGATCACAGTGCTTGGCCCAAGCAGCATCCTCCATTAAGTTGTCTGGGTCAGTCACTACCTGATTTCGGAGAAGCTGATCCAACGTATCATAAAATGGACAGTGCGGTGGATCACCCATACTCGTGGCATGGGCAACATATGCCTTTAAATATAACGCCTTCAGAACTTTAAACTTGGAGCGGCACTGACGTTCGGTGCGGCGGAAGCCTTCCTGCTGCATTCGCTTAGACACAGCCTGATAGACATCTGCATTATGATGCACAGTCTGGAGGCGCTGGATATACTCCGCCTCGCCTAGTATGGAGAGAAGAGTTCGAGTCTCCTGTCTGGACCACCGGATGCCCGCACTGCTATTGGAACTGGCCATAGTGGACTGGGAAGGAAGGCTAGCTGCAGGAAGCTCCTGGGCAGCAAGGTGCAAGTCTGAAGGTGTGGGGAGGCTCTGTGTGCTCTCAGTATACTTCCAGGAGCCAGCCGATTCTTCCCTCTCGGGGCTAATTGTTGAGAAGCCAGGTCCAAGGACCGCATTTCTGGCTGGAAGGCCACAGGGGAATGAGAGTTACAGGGAGGGTGTAAGGGTAATTGTGGCAGCAAGTTAAGTCATGCTACCTGTGAGTAGGACGCCAAGACTAAGAAAGCCCAACTGTGAGAGTTTGCCCAGGATAGGTACTGGACCGAGGGCTCAAAAGGGCCTACTGGCTCAGTAAAAGGGGACTGGCTCCTCCACAAAAGAGAGAGTGCTTCTGAGGCCAAGACCTGGTACAACTGTATCTGTAAAAATCACCACTGTCTTGTAAGTAGACTGAGGGGGGAATATCTGGGCCATGAGACAGCTCACTCTAGACAAGTGCCGGCAGGACCATGGGAACAGCAGGTCTGAAGAGCACTCATCCTTTACCAGTCTTGGCCTCAGCAGCTTGCTGCGGCTACATATTACCATCTGACTGCCACCACTGCTCTCTGTTAAAAGGTAACTTTTGGGGCCAGAAAAGTAAGCTTAAGTTGTTCCTGATAATACAAAGATTTTGTATGATATGGCAGAACACAACCATATCATCACTCTGATCGTCTGCCCTAAAATAGCAACGTAAAACAGGGCTCCCAGGAAATAGATCTATGGCAGTGTTCTGTATTTTGATTCTATCAATGTCAGTATCCTGGTTGTGATACTGTACTCTCTAGTTTCGCAAGATGTTACCATCCAGAGGTGGTAAATCCAGTAGTATATTGGATCTCTCTGTATTATTTCTTACAACAGTATGTAAATTTACACTGATTCCAAAATAAAAAGTTTAATTGAAAAAACCCTATATTATTGGCTGCTTATAGTGAATATGGTTCAAAGCCCATCTAGAGCTCCCTGCTTTATTAGAGATGTTATAACTTACAAATTTTTGACACCAACTAATTTATTTTCAATATGCTCAATACTCAGTTTGTCAACACATAAATGAATAGGGGAGTGTATTTATCATCACAAAAATTTAAATTCTCTCCAAAATACTATCATTTTTGACTTAGTGCATAAATACCCTAAGGAAAAAAAATAAATCAAGTTCAGTTTAACTAAATACAGGTAAGGGATAATAAAAAATATACATATGTATAAAAGAAATAAATATTAGATTTAATCCATAACCCCCAAATCCTAAGATCAACATGGGACATTTACACTTAAATTCTCAACTGAACAAAGCAAAAAGGGAAGAACCTGGGGCTAAAGGTTAGAAGTCCTGAACTATAGTCCTATCTAGCTCGCCCCAACTAACTGAGCAATTCCGTAACTTCTATGTGCCTCAATTTGCTCATCTACAAATGGGGAGGAATAAAACCTGCCCTACCAATCTTTTAGGAATTTGAGGGGATTAAATAATAGATGTGAAAGCACTTTGAAAATTTAAAAACACTGTATCAAGTATTACTACTCCAGTGAAAATGAAAACCTCTAATTATTATGGTAATCTATAATTTGAGGAGACAGAAGTCTGGAAAAGGAAGCCTCTTTAATCTTTTAATTAAAGTTACAACAGATGATTAACCTGATTCTTACTTAAGATGTTAATTAAGCTGTTTCTCTAATGATTAAATTTGTAAGCCAAATGGAAAAGTTAGTTCCCAGAAAGTGTCACAAAAGGACCTTCTATATAAATTATGACCAACTGCAGCAGATTTTGCAAAATTCAACTACAGTGCAGAAAAATCTTCAAGTTCCCTCTGTCATATAAAAAGGTGAAAAGTCCAAATTACCACTTCCAAATGAAACATTATCAAACTATATGAATGTTGGCATTTATCAATAAAAACAGACCTCTGAGCAAAAAACAAATTATCTGAGTGAATCCCATCCTTGAGAAGATACAACACTAATCATCAAAAGAAAGAGCCTACTGGGATAATCTCTGAGATGATTCAACCATAAAAAGCAACAACAACAAAAAAACCAAACTGATCTTTCTAGCTTCATTTCACATTATGCTTAGAATGTATGAACACACTTTATTTCCATATGTAGAAGTATTATTTTATTCCATACCTTCTGCCAAGGATCTGCTTTACTTTCATTACTGTATTTGAAATATTTCTTATTCTACTTTGTTTTGCTGCCAATCCAACAACCTGAAAAAGAGCAGCATATTACAATGCATGTAATTTTACTTATTTCAAAATATAAAAATGAGGGGAATAGTACCTCTTCATTTTCTATGTAAGCAACAACAGCTGGAGTAACTCTGTCACCTGCATCATTTGCAACCACATCAGCCCGGCCATCCTGGAAAAAAAATACACAACTATATTAGGTCTCTTAAGGAAAAAAAAAAAAAAGGAAAAAATATATATACACACACAAACATATAGTCTCATCAGACATATGTGGGCCAGTGTTAGCTTGCCATACCTCTAAGAAAACCACTGTATCAGTATTTTAAACTTGCAGATTTAATTGCCATTATTTGGCAATTAATTGCCTAGATTTTATTTAAGGTCAACAATCCACAAACTGGATTTTTTTCAATCTGCTCTGCATAGTCAATAATTGGATCAAACATAAAAACCTTCCTGTATACAATAAGACTTATTACACCACCCTTTCCAGTTTTCTTTCTTCCCTGACAAAATACATCTTTCTTTCTTCCTCTTTCTACGTATGATGAAGTAGCATTAAATCCCTTTGGTTTTTCCTTCCAAATCACCTGACATTTAAATGCAAGACTAGTATCAGGGGAGTTCATTATTATTGTTCCTTCCGCCCCCCTCCTGATGAGAAGCAGACTACAATTCCTTGTTAAGCTCTTGCATTCAAGAAAGGTCAAGTCAGTAAGAGCGTGCACCACCAACTCGCTTCACGCGCTTCGCGGGATTAACAACTCCAGTTCCAGATCTCGACCACCCGGTCCTCTCCGGGCAAACATTCAGAAACCTCCGGGTCGGGATATTCAGGCCCACATCCCCGCCTCCAGCGGCCCTGCCGTTCCCGGGGACCGCCCCCTCCGGGCGTCCAGCGCCCACGAGGTCCTCGAGACCCCTCCGGGCCTCCTGTAGTTCTGACGTCCCCGAGACCTCCCAGACCTCCTGCTGCCCTGACATCCCCCGGACCGCCCCTCTTCGGGCGTCCAGCGCCCACGAGGTCCTCGACACCTCTCCGGGCCTCCTGCGGCCCTGATGTCCCCGAGGCCCTCCAGGCCTCCCGCTGCCCTGACGTCCCCGGGCCCGCCCGACTCCGAGCCTCCAGTGCCCACGACATCCCCGAGATCCCTCTGGGCCTCCACAGGCCCTGACGTCCCCAGGACCGACCCCCTCCAGGTCCCCTGCGGCCTGGACGTTCCCGGACCCCGCCGGCCCGCGTCGTCACGACCCTCCGCCCGAGCACAGCAGGCTTTCCGGAGGAGCTCCGGAGGACCAGGCCGGGTCCGCCCGGCCCTTCGCCTCCACACTTCCCCGCAATAACGCCTTTCCGCACGACATTCCTAGGCCGGCGACAAGCGTGTTCACAGTCCCACAGGAGACCAAAGGACTTGGCCCCGCACCCGGAGAACTGGGGGGTCATCAGCCCGGAGCCCAGCTCCCCCAGTCTCTAACCTTATAGACGGCCACACAGGCTGATGTGCAGCCAAGGTGAACTCCGATGGCCGCCATGAGGCGGCAGAGAAGGCGGCAGCAGTAACGAGTGGTCCCCCTGTGGCAAGAGCTTCGGGCCTCGGAACAGCCCCATCAGGCACCGCGGAAACTTCACGTTCCCGCCCGCCCACTGCGTCCGGTCCATCCGCCGCGGCCTCCCGCGTCGCCACCAATCAGCATGAAGGTTTCGCCTTGCCTCTCGGACTGCCGGCGAATAGCTTTAGTGCGTCCTCCCACCCCGCCCTGCCGGCCCGGCGGCGCGTGTGCGAGAGTACGCACGCACCCGTCGGGGAGGGCCTGGAAGGGATTTCTTCGTCCCGCCCCCTTCTAGTTCCTTACGTGAAAGCCAATGGAAACTCATGATTGAATTGCGTCATTTGGCTTAGCAACTCCCGGCAGATTTTTTCCCAGCCAGTCGCTCGGCTACTCCGCGTCCTGTAACAGCCCCCGGCGGTAGCGCCGTGGCTGTCGGTGGACGCGGGTGGCGAGGCGTTTGGAGCGGCTGGTTCAGCATGTGGTGCACGGGCCCAGCCGCAGTGGTGGCCTTTTGTGCCGGGCTTTGGGTGTCTAACTCGGGGCCGGCGCTGGGCCAGGAGGCCGGGGAACGGCCAGGGGCCGACTGTGAAGGTGAGCGGTGTGAGACCTGCTTGCTTGGCGATGGCACCGCGCCGCCCCGCAGCTGTTGTCGGATTTGGCTTCCCCCGGCGCTGGCTATAAATAACATTTAACTCAGGAAATGCAGGTCCCCGTTCCTGGCTTCCCATCGCCTTCGCCCAAGCCCAGGCAAAAGTTCGATCCGGGCCCGGTGACACATTGAGGCCGCGTTCTGGTCTTGGGCTATTTGGGATTTGGATTAGATGTTGTGTAGACGCAACTAGCTTCAGAAGACCCTGGCGCTGCATCCATGCTGCTGCTGCTGATGGGCGAGTCTGGCCGCTCCGTGGCCAGGCGAGGTCTTTCAAATTTAAATTTGTTTGACTCCCAAAAGAAAAATAAAACAAGTTGTCTGTAATTGAGTTGAGGTGGCTTAAACCAGAGAACAAAAGTAACGTTTGTTAGGACTTACAGAGTAAAGTTGATTTACAGAGGAGAGGAGTACATTCACTCTTTAGGAGGAATACCCAGGAATGATTCCTCTTCTGTTCGCAGAACCTAAGCTAGGCACCGCAATCAGAACACGTGGGGCTAGGTTCCGCCAACCCTCTGCTCTGAGCCCCCCATGCCCCTTCCTTGCAAAATCTGCGTGATAGTACCTACTTGAGGGGGTTGTTAACAAGATTAAAGAAGATAGTTGGCTACGCTAGCCCCTTCCTCCTAGACTGCTGTAACAAACAATTTTCACTGACCAAAATAATTTATATAAGTGTATCTCCTCCTCACCCTTCTGTGACCTTGGGACTCTATTCCTACTTAACAGGAAACTGTAGCTTCACAGTATACATTGAATAACGATGAGTGTAGTTTGTATAACAACTTAATGAAGTGAAGTGTTAAGAATTGGAGTCCAGTTTTCTACCAGCCCTGCGGTAATTAAACTTCTCTCCAGAAATCTAAAATATCTACACAATGTGATTTTTAAACTTTCTATAGATATATTTGTTCAGCTAAGTTATAATTTTGTTTAAAGAATCTTATAACTGCATCCTATGCATTTAAAGCAGAATTTGTGAGACACAAACAATTGATCTGATTACTCATTAGTAATTTAATTTCTGGAGCGTTTACCTGAAAACATTCCAGAAAAGCCAGAGCCCCGGGATTAGTTAAATGTGAAGCGTATGCCATCTTTCCTAGATTTATTACAGCATATCGTGATTATTGCGTGTTGGACTAGACCTCATTTTCTACGGTCCCCCTCCTCTTGCTCACTCTGCTTCCATAACTCTGGTGCCCTGACTGTTTTTTGGACCTGCCAAGGACACTCCTGCATTAGAACCTTTGCACTTCTCCCTTTGCCCGGAGAGTTCTACCCCAAGTAGTCCACTTACGGTTTTCTCTCCCTTTCTTAAGGTTGCTGCTCAAATACCACTTTATCCAAGAGGTTTTCCTTGACCACTCCATTTAGAATAGTACTACTACCTTGTCACTCTCTACTCCCATTACCATGTTTCTTTTTCTTCACGGCCACGAGATACTTTTATTTATTCCCTAGCATGTAATCCTTGAGGGTATGGATTTTGTTTTTCAACCACCTAGAACACTGGTACTTACTAATTGCTTAGTGAATGTTAAAAATACAAATGACAGGCTGCTATATTTAATGTTCTGTTCCTATTAATAGCATTAGGAATGAATAGGACTTGGAGCTCTAAAGGACAACATGACTGATCCTCTAGCTGAAAACAACTAAAAACACTGGATAAAATAAAAATGTAAAAATATTTTTAAAGATTTATTTACTTATTTGAGAGACTGTGCATTTCCGCTGGAGGGATGGGGGAGGGGCACAGGAAAAGGGAGACAAGCAAACTCCCTGCTGAGTGAGGAGCCTGCCTCAGGGCTCCATCCTGGGACCCCTGAGATCGTGACCTGAGCAGAAATCAAGAGTCATGCTCAACCAGTGAGCCTCCCAGGTGCTCCTAAAAATAATTTTAAGAGTTAGTAAGGTATAACCAGAGGCCAAAAATCGAGATGAAAGTGGAAACTAAAAGAGGTAAAAGGAACGGGAAAGTGGCTTTTGCCTTGAGGGCATTTGTTCCCCGGGCAATCTGAATTTAGGTTTTCCTGGCTTTGGTAGAATAAAGAGAATAAAGACAAAGCCCAGGACCTTCCTAAGTTAGGAGTGTAAGATAAGGTCTTTCTCCAATTAATCTGAAATCCCAAAGAGCTAGGCCTCCATTATAAAAGGTGACCTGGAAATAACCACAACGCTACCCCCATCCTTAGAGACTAAAAGCAATTGTGGTACTTGAACTTTGTACCAAAAGGGAAAACAAAAATGTCTCCAGATAACTCCTAATCACAAGATAGCTCACATATGCATTGAGGCCCAAATGCACACAACCTGGATGGTCCAAAACATCTCAAACTGAAATTTTAGTTTAATGGGGTTTTAGACATCAGCAAATACTGATCTTACCTGTAGGAATCCACCTTTAGCCCAGCCTGCAAATAATTCTCAGTCTAAGAAATAAAGCTTACATTCAGAAAAGTCTTGCACCCATGGGGAAGAAGGGCACCATAAGTGACAGCAAGTTTCGACTAGTGGCAGAGACTAGTGGAAAGGCTTCAGGTACTGGAATTATCAGGCACAGAGTAGAAAATACATTTATTATGTTTTAAGAAATAAAGGAAGGGATTAAAAATATAAATAAAGGGCAAAAGACTCTTAAAAATGTCCAACCATATTTGGAAAAGGACCAGATTAAATGGCTACAAATAGAAATTAATGGGATTAAAAGAAGATTAGATACAGCTGATAAAATAATAATTAAGAAGATTGAAGAAATTATCAAGAATGAATCACTAGAGAGAAAGAAGAAGAAACAAAGAGAAAATCTTAAACATAGCCAGAGAAAAAGTACTGATGGACTTCAAGTTAGACTGTCAGATGATTCAACAGTGAAAGGCCCAAAGTCACATAGCTAGTAATCAATAAAGCCAGGATTTGGACCCAGAGGGTCTGCCTTCAGAGCCCAAGCACTGAATTACTAACTCTACTGCTTCTGAGTATACTGCTGGGAACTAAATTATTTAAGGAAATATTAAAAAAAAAATCGGAACAATGAAGTAGTACACAAATTATTCAAGAAGTTTTGGCCATTTCTAAACTCTTAACTCCTTATAACATATGAATATTCTTAGGTAGCAATTCTCCCCTAGTCCTGGTATCACCAAGATTAATCTGGTGTCTTTTTAAATTTTTCCTTCAAAATCAAGTAGATAATGTGGGACTGACTTCAGTTTTAGAAGGTGTGGGTGGATAGAACTGTTGAAAATAATGTTTTTAGCACACTGCCAGTTTAATTATTCCACTAACCTGATTTTAAGCACTTAACATTATCTTTTTGAAAAACTTGTAGCAGGTGGCATTATTATATTTTCCAAATACTATTTTCCATTTTTGGGCTCTGGCTAATAATTGCTTAATTGATGTGTGATTTCACCTTAAAATTTTAAATTCAATTTCACTAATATTACCAAATATTTTATTGAGCATATTGGGGATTTCTGTGACAGTCAAAGATATTGTGGTGAGTTTTTAACATCAATTAGCAACTACTTCAAACATACAGGAAAATTTTTATATGACTTATACCTAGCATCTAGATTCATTGTTAATATTTTGCTATATTTGCTACCATTCTGTCTTTAAAAAATAAAATAACACTTGTAGCCACTGTTTTCTCTCCCTTTCCAGGAGAAATGTCTGTTCTAAAGTTAATGTATGCTTCTTTTCCATTTTTAAAGAACTTTTACGATAAATGTGTATATCCACAAATAATCTGTGTAATTTTTTTGATCTTAGTTGTATATAATTGTACATTGTACATATTCATTTGCAACCCTTTTCATTCAACATTATATTGGGGCATTTATATATGTTGATAACTACAGACATAATTCATTCTTTTTAACTTGCCTCTAGAATTCCACTTTGAGTGAAATACAGTTTATGTAACTATTCTCTCTTGGAGGTTTGGTTAGGTTCTTCCCACTTTTACATAATTTTAAACAATGGTCCTCTGAATATTCTTATACATGTCTCCTAGAGCACATTGCTGATGATTTCTCTAGGTCATAGAGCAAGAATTTCTGGGTGATAGATTATATGATATGCACTTTCAACTTAAGTTTTCCCTATTGGACTGCTGTTTTCTTACAGATATGCAGGATCTCTTTTATTCAGCCAAAAAATACATTTCACACCCAATCTAGGTACCTTGTTGAGAACAGAGCAATGTGGCTTAACTGGGAGAGGTGACAGACCCTGAGGTGTGAGAGGCAGTGGAAAGTCAGGTCACCCGGGACTGTGGGACAATCTAGAGACTGGATTAGACTCTGAGTGATATGGAAAACCACAGGAGGGTGTTGAGCTATGAAGTAGCATAATCTTTCATTTTTAAAGACTCTGGTTAGAATGTTGGGAACTTAGTGGGTCAGATTACAGCAATCCTCTGGCCAAGAAACCCTAATGCTGCAGGAGAAAATATGAAAACGTCATAAAGGAACCAAGAGTTGACAAGATAGAAAGATTTACTAGGGCAAAATTGAAGGGGAAGAAGCAGTCCTGAATGGTAAACTGAGTTTACACTCATTCTGCCCAGATGACAGTGGCCAGTCAAAGATGATCTTTGGTGTGAGGGAGATGGAAGGCAAAGCCTAAGACTTGTTTCAAGTAAGGAACCTACTAAGACACTCTTCTCTGTTAATCTAGGATTCCCAAAGTGTTACTCCCTCAGCGTAAGGTTGAACGAGCAATAAAGCTAACCCATCCCTACCCACAGAGGTCTCTAAGGAAAATTTCCTTGACACTGAGCAGAACTGAAGAAAAGAATAAACACTTTCTGAGAGATTATAACTACAAGATGTCCTCACTTGGATTTGCAGCTAAATTTCACATAAGGGGTCCAAGAAAATATCAAGCTGTCATTTTAGTTTAAAGTAGCCCCTGGCTAGTAGCTCCT